ATTTATTTATTCAACATTGAACGATGTCGATTGCTTCCAAGAGACAATAGTAAAATCATCAAGCGGCCAGTGTTTATACACAAAATGCAGGGTATGGTTCGCCGGAGAAGGAATCAAACTGTCGATTGGTTTACGATGGGGAGAGAGGAGGATTTGGACTCTTGCAGCTCGTCGTCGATCGGGAAGAACAGTGACGTGTCCGGTGGTTCATCCGAAGAAGAAGATGATACTGAGGTCCCGAGTTCTTACAAAGGACCCTTGGATACCATGCACGATTTAGAGGAGGTTTTGCCAATCAGGTAAGTTTGTTTGAATTTTTAAGATTATATATAGATTTTTTTTCAACTGTTGAACTTGTGAGAAGGGTTTTCGTTCGATGTATCTAATTATTGGTTGTAAAATAATCATTTGTTTCTAATTTAATCGAGTATGTATATTAAGTTTGAGAGAGTAATTTTTAGCAGTAATTTATTAACACATAAATCACTAGTATGGATTTGAGTAATTAATCATTGGGGTTGTGAAGTAACGGTACAGTTAGGTCTTTGGTTCCAACTCTAAGCCTACTTTATATCTGGGGTTACATACCCTCTAGAGTAGTCAGATTGCTCAATTAATTGATGATGTTAAGATGCACTTTTGAATTTTAATGTCCTAAAACGCGTGGCTGTAGGAAATATGAGCATCTAAGTTTTTTGCCCTAAAGTTGTTGTTCTTGAAAGTTTTTGACTGAGTAATGGTGGAATTTATTGTTCCCTTTCTTTTTGTGGAAGTGATGCGACGAGGTGACTACTCGTAGTTTGGCTAGTGAAGGCGCCATGTTTATGTTTGAGAGCATTATTATTCACAGACTTTGTTTCCTTCCGACAATTGAAGTATGGGAAGAGCATACGGTTATTAGTTATATTTAGCAACTGAATCAGAATACAGTCTTGTAAGGAGATTATTTTAGTTTCCACTTATTATAGAGCCTCACATTTATGCCATACATGGGCATATTGTCAAACATGGATCGGCATAAGCTAAAATTTATGGAATAAATCATGACTTGAATGAAGCAGGCACATTTTAATGTTGTCTGATGTTCACTTATGCTACCACTTTTGGTTGGTCCTTGCAGTTTTTATGGTGTTTTCTTTTGCATATTTTAGGGTAGGCATATCGAAATTTTATAGTGGCAAATCAAAGTCCTTCACAAGCCTTGCAGATGCATCATCTATTTCCACCATCGAAGACCTTGCAAAGCCAGAAAATCCCTACAATAGGAAGCGCAAGAGCTTGTTAACCCAGAGCAGTCGCCCTTTAAGGAACAATGCAAGTGGAATACCAAAGAAACATATTGACTTCAGTCAAAGTGCCTTGATTCTTGGAGCAACCATGAGAAAAAGCAAGGAAAATTTCAACTTGATATCATCACCTTCCGGCTGTCTTCCACCTCAGCATCCACAAACTAAAGTACTGCCCAGAAATGCATCATCATCATCATCATCTCTGCCTCCTCAACAGAATCCTCCTTGGCGCTCTTTCTCTCTATCAGATCTACAATGTGTTGTAGGTACAGATCCTGTGGAATGAATAAACAAGGTTTATGAGTTATGATTTACTCCTGCTTTGAGTAATCAATAATCTGGTGTGTTTTTTCTCCACGAACAACCTAAGGTTGGGTGTACGATCACAGAAAGGAAGACAAGCTGATATCATAGTGTAAGACCCTCTTTGATTTTGTCTTTTGCAGTCTAGTCTCTCTTCTTTTGGGATAGGACATAAAGGGGAGAGCTTAGTGCAGATAAAAATTTCAAAAAACATGCTAGGGAAGAAACCATGTTTTATATGATAATAGCAAAGTTGCCTTTGATGGGTTGTGAACCATGAAGTAATATTGTATAAAAAGTATTTAGTAAATTTTGATATGTTAGTGTGTAATTTATATATAGGTATCATTGTGGATGATCAAACCGTAGTAAAAAATTGAACCAAAAATCAAAGCTGAGATGTGAAGGGAAAAATTGAAGTTTGACGGATTAGGGAGAGAAATATCCTGCTTTTGGGGGATATGTCCGACTTGTACAGGAGATAGCTCGTTTGTTTCAAGGTTGGTATTGTGTAAAATATTATAAGAGATTAAAAAATAAATTTAAATTTGTTTCTTTAAAAAAACTTGTATGTGGTTCAATACCACATAGAATTATTCTCTACCGTTCTCTCTAGTTCCATAATTTCAACGGCGCCACACATGGCTTATAAAACTAAAAACTTTAACTTAACCCTACTGTACTAGTAACTCCAAACATAAAATTTTATGAAAGAATAAAATAAAATTAATGGCGCTACCAATATTCCTTTCCTATTTGTGCATAGTTAGCTCTTTATAAAAGAATTATAAGCTTATATATATATATATATATATATTTTTTAATGTGAATTTGGGTAAGATTAACTCACTATATATATATATATATATATATTCTTTAATTAATATTTATTATTATACATTAATATATATATTTTTAATTTTTGTTTTAATATAATAAATCTGACCCAGTCTAAAAATTTAGGAAGGATTGGAATTTAAAATAAAATAAAACTTACACTTTTATTGTTTTTTGTTCTTCCGATATTCAGTTATCCAATTCTTGTTATTCCCTTTCATCCATCAAACTCACATAGACTAGTAAAAATTGAAGCTTCTTCGTCGTCTTCAAAAACCAATCTCTGCCATTTTAAACATCCATTTGAAAGTGTCTTCAGCCTAAAAAAAATAAAACCCAACACTCAAAATTGCCCAAGCCCAATTCCAAGACCCCGCTGGACCCAAATGAAGAACCAAGCCAAACCCAAAGAAAACGACACTGAGTTGAGCCACACATGCCTAATCAAACTTTTCTTTTTATCTTTTTATTTGAAAACTATGATATGCACATTTCCTATTTCATCCATCATTGTTTCCCCTAACTTCTTTGTATTTTTCAAAATTTTCATAAGTTTAGTATTATCTATCCAAATTCTCTTATACTCATTTTTCCTTAAAATCCCTTTAAATTCATTTTATCATATAGTTTTTTTTCAAGACATCTTTTATCTCTTAAATTACCATCAAAATTTTTTCGCAAGTTTCTGCTCAAATCGAGACATCAATAACCCTCCGCGGGTATCCCCAATTTTCAATTTGCCATAACACAATAACCAAATTGAAATTATTAAAATTTTAGAGTTTTCTTTGGATTGAATGAATATATTCGTTATTCGATTTGTACCATTATGAGATCAAGATTTTTACTATCATAAGGGGATGCACATACAAACAACATACACATTGGTCATAATAATTTGTCGTCAGGTGACCTAAAACAGAACACATATCTCAACTATTTCTGAAAGGGTTTCCATACACTCAAGGATAGGGTTCATCGCACAATTAAATTTCAGTCATACTAATCTTCAACGGGTTACTTCTAAATTTTCGTTTATTTAAGTCATCGTATTGTATTTTTTTTTCTATTCTATTTAAAATTGATATTTTATTTTATTTTATTTCATAATTAAAATTTTACTTATCAATATTCCATTCCATTGTCTAACTAATTCCCTCTAAATTTACTTTTAAAATTTTATTTCATTATTTAAATTTATTTTTTGTCAATACTCATTTACTTTATATAATTTTTTGAGATTTGTTAGTATATTATGTATATATATTTGCTAGTATTTATTATTATTATTATTATTATTATAATTATATTATCGCTATTTTATTTTATTAGTATTATTTATATTATTATTATTATCTAATTTATTATTATTATTATTTTTATTTTAGGTATATTTTTTTTTTAATTCTTATTATGTATGATTAGTATTTTTATTTTTAAATCTTATCATTACTCTAATTCCTGTTATTTCTAACTTAATTATCTATTTTTCCATTTAACAACTTGAATCTAATTTCTCTTTATTTTTAAGTTATTTTTCTTCCCCATTTTTTTTCATCTACTTCAATTTTCCTCCATATTTTATTACATTTTCTTACATTCTCAAAATTTTCAACCTAAAATACATACCTGACATTAAAATTTCATCATTCATGCAAATGTACAAACAAAATCAAGCAAATAGAGTTAAAATCATTCAAAAAAACTCAAACAGAACTGTTTTTGAACCTTTTCCAATAGTTTGAATTGCCTGGATAGGTTCTGAGCTTGGTTTTAAACTCTACTCACCAACTCTTCTTTCTAAGCTTGTAAATTCTTATTCGGTTAATGAAATTCAATGAAAATTGATGCTATGAAGGTTTCGGGATACCTATTAGTTATACTTATAATTTGAAAGCGGTTAATAAGTGATTTGAGCTCCAAAAATGTCCCCAAAGTTGAGAAAAAATTTATAACGAAAAATTTTTTATCAGGTTAGTGATAAACTCACAACTTATATGTAATTTTTCATGTATGCATGACTTGATTTTGGTTTAATTTGAACTTCAAACATGTTTTATTATATGTAAACAATCTTTATAGCATTTTGTTGACTTAAAATGATAAATGGAGCTCTAGAAAATTAATCACTAAAATACCTGTTTGATCATGCGTAAGGGTTGCAGTTGCCAGAAAATTCGACGGGTTTTTGCGATCTCCAGCACTGGTTGGTCGCGAATCACCCTTCCCTCGACGGTAGGCCCTTTGCGGACGATCTTTGCCTCTCTTTCTTCCCTTTTTCTACTTTCTTCCGTCGAGAGTGACGGACTTTGGTCCCCTTTCTTTTCTTCTTTTGTTTGTTTGTTTTTTTTTCTTTTCTTCCTGATCGGGTTACGTTGAGTGGCTTAGATAGGTTTTTAAACCCAACACTCAACAGATCTGGACCGTACAATCATTGCATGTGTGGTCGCATGCAGTCTGTTGGATGAGCCTTCATTAATGGCAAAATTGTAATTTTGTCATCATGTTCCTTCAATCGTTAGATCACGATTCTCTTTTGATCAGAATTGTTCAATCGTGTGACCATTAGATCATATCAAAATGATGTAAACCGTTTGATTAATATCTCGCACGTTGACTGTTGGATCACAATCATTTTTTGTGCATGTATGCACATTGTTATATCTGATTACTATAATTTTCACTGTTGGATTAGTTTAAAATACTTAGAACCGTCTTATCTGTTTAATGGGCGCCTGCATGGTTAACCACCTGTATGGGTCAAACATCACTCGACTTTTTTTGATTGAGCGGTTGTCACGTCACTAGTTTGAGTGGTTTGTTTTTCAAAAAGTACAGAATGAACTAAATTTTGAATTTTCTTTATATTTTACCTCCTAAATTAATTTATAAATTTGCAAAGAGTCGTAAATAAATTTAATTTTGTTCAATTTAGTCCATAATTTTATTTTTTTGCATATTTAGGGGTAAATTTTATTTTATTTTTAAAATTTTTCTTGAGTTTTAATTTATGCATAACTATATTTAATACAAAATTTACACTAATAATTACTTAATTTATCTATGTGGTGGTACAAATTTGTTCCTCCTTAAAAAGAATTTGATCCCCCCAAGTTACATAATTCAAAATAAGTGAGGATACATTTTTCACATAGAATTAAGTAGCTTCATTCTGGGAGTAGTGTTGTCAAAGTACTTTCATCATGGGAATGATCTTGTTCCTAAGTACCCGATCTTGCTTGTCAAGAATGGCCGCTAATACTTGTTCAAAAGTTAGGTTCTCTTCAAGAAAGCCTAATCTATTTGGTACACCATATGAGTTGACTCAATATGTGCTGCTCATGTTCTCGGGCTACGCTGGTTTAATCCCATCCAAGTTCTATCACTGTTTAATTTTTATATGGTAATGTTTACAAGTACATCTAATATGATGTATTACAATTCAAAGTCATCTATAATTATGTGTATAGTTAATGATAACTAAAGTTATAATATTTATATATATGTTTACATTAAATTATAAATTATAAGTGTGACGATTGATTTTAAAAATATTACCGTTAGTTATATTTTAAATTGGTAATTATAAATTTAATTTATTTCCTAAATACTTAAAGAGCTAGGAATGTTAATACTAACAACTTCTCTATCTAGGGTGATAAAATGCATGATTCATAGTCATTAATTATATTTTACCATAAATATTTTGTTCTAAAACTAAACAAAATTTTGAAAACATAAGAATAGAAGTTAGTAAAAACATTATGGTGACTCTAGCTCACTCTTAGCTTGCATTTTTTCCCTGACAGGATATATATTTGGAGGATTTAGATATGATGATACAGTATATATTAGAGAAGAAGAAGGAAGAATCATCATTAGCATAACAAAGTAATATCAAGGTTTTCTTCTTCCTCTTGTCTTCTTTATACAAGCTTTATTTATTTTATGAGTTTGTAGCAATACAAAGAAATCTCCTTTTTTTTTTTTTTTAAGATTATTCCCACCTTTCTAATCTTCTTCCCTATGTCAGCATTTACAATGGGATTATATATCTTAATTCTTCTTATACATTTGTTCTAATTAGTTTATATAATTTTTTTATTTTTACAGGTGCTGCTGCAACTTTTTCTTATCTATGATGAGATCTGTGGTGTTCTTTTTGATGCTGACAATGCTTCCAGGTTTTCCAAATTCTTTTGTGAGCGATGATGACTTCAAGTTGTTCCATTCAATTGATCGAGAGTTGTATTCCCTTCTGGTAATTACTTTTTCCAGAGATCCAATGGAGTGCATGCAAATTATGGCTCTGTGGCTTTGGTTAGAGAGAGCAGGATTCAGTAACATTATACACAAAATGTTATCTTTACCATCCACACTGATAAATGAGCTTGCAGATGAAGCACTCATATGTCTCAACTACATTAACAATGGCCAGATTATAGAGGGTGGTACTGATATTCCTCTAATGCAAAGCTTGGTGAAGAAAGAAATCTCTCTCCAAACTTTCATAGAAAATAGACTGAATGCAACTCAAGGGGTTACCAAAGTAATGAACGAAGTATGTACTAGAGCACTATCAGACATCATGCAGATGGTTGTGGAGAGAAACGCAACTCAAAGTATTGCAAATTGTGAGACACTAATGGCAAATCTCAATATTTCCACACGACAACCAGCTCCACAACGAGCACTACTAGCAATACCACCAATAGTGCCACAATCTAGTTATATTCCTACAGGATTATTTGGAAATATGCCAGCTGATTTGGGATTTGTTCAAGCCTCAGAGGTAATTCCAGAAGTACCAGCTGAAGATAGGACTATGTTTCTTACGTTCTCAAAAGGTTATCCTGTATCGGAAAAGGAGGTTCGAGATTTCTTTGCTAAAAGTTATGGAGATTGCATTGAGTCATTGTACATGCAGGAAGTACGCCCCAATGAACAATCATTATTTGCTCGTCTTGTTTTTCGGACTCCATCAACCATCGGTTTTATTCTAAGTGGAATGACCAAAGCAAAATTTACCATCAATGGTAAGCATGTATGGGCTCGAAAGTTTGTGCCAAAACGACCTCGACCTCCGCCGACTCCGCTGCCAGCACCACCGCCACTCGCAATCTTGCCTCGGCCACCACCGCCGCCACCACCACCACCATATTGATCACCATTATCTCTTTCTATCCCCTTATGTGTTAAATAATTTGTTCCCATTTTCCAGTTGATTGTAAAAATTGGCTATAATCAATTTTACCATCAATTTGTTTTTGGGAATCAGCTTATAAATTCTGTGTCCCAAATGTTTTAAGTTGATTTCCATTTTTTTTTTTCTATTTGGATTTATACACAGGGAGGATGGAAACAAAAACTTGAGATATGTTTAACTTCAACTTACAGAATCATTCCATTTCTGCTTCTCAAAATCTTAACTTTCATTCCAAACAAACACAAGTTTGTTTTATCACCGGAGCAGATGGGTCTGAAAATGATACCGTTATAATTTTTCAGTAAGGGAAAAAAATATAACAAAAATGGTGCATAACTGTTATGGGAAAATCCATGCAAATTTAGTGCTGTGTATATCTTGCCATATTCTAACTTATATTCTTTTTAAGTTTAAATAATTATATAATTAATATTATAATAAATAGATTATGACTTTAATGAAAAAAGTAGTGGATGGGAGATAAAAAGATTATTGAAGTCTTGCTAGAGATTACTTGCTGCTTATAATCTAGATTCAGACACAGTGCGGCTGAGCCGCCATGTGCCTTCCAATTCGCACGTACTACGTAAACCAGCCGCGAAGAGCTCAAGCAAGACAGAAGGGACACCATTGACATTCTATAGAAGAGAAGGGCATTTAGGTAAATTCAGACGTCTATGCTAATAATGCTCGTCCCTTCGACAAGTTCAATTTCACTCACCATTATGTTCTTCCATGTTTTTGATAAAAACCTTTTTTTATTTCTTTCTTCTCTCTGAAATTGAACTAAATCCTCCTCTTGTTCCCTCCTCTCTATTCCATTCTATTGTGGACCAAGAGCAAGAGGCTCCTATGCCTGCATATGCTCTTACAAGAACACACTCGAGATACTCGTAGTGGTAACCTGTATCAGAATGTTTGCATAATTTCTTGTTCCAACATAAACAATTCTCTATTGCATATACATAATTTTATAGTTTGGACTTTATCGATAATACATTTAATGTGTATTTCCTTTATGCGAAATTGATTAACGTGGGTTGGTTTCCTTTTTCTTTGTGGCTCTTTTTCTGGTGTTCGTAGTTTCGCGGTGGTTTTTGATTGATTAAAATGGAACCGAGTTCAAGTGGGGAGGAACCCATGTCGTGGGATGAGCTATACAATATCAATTTGATGCCATCAGAGTTGTTCCTTAAGTTCCGTAAAGAAATCGAAGGGTTCCGATTTGGCGTCAATTTAGAGGTTATCTTATCTTGTTTGTTCTTTTGTTTATTTTCATTTTTGTTTTTGTTTTGTTTTTTAAATTAAGAAGTGTCTCGGGTTGCCGTTTGTTGTTAATTCTTATGCTTTGCTTTTATGTGTACATAAGTTTTTAGTTTCTGGTTGGTGTTATCTGGATGATAACTTTCTCATGTTGAACTAGATTTGTTTGTGATTTTAATTTTATATGGTTATGTGATGAGAGATTAGGAAATAAGTGGAGACCACGGGATGAGGACTGATAATTTTAGAAATTTAATGGTTTTAGTATCATCATCTTTGTCATCAAAAGGGAAAGGCTGAGAGCCGTATTGGGAAGATGACGATAAGCCATTGGTGTGACAACATTGAATTTTATCTACTTTTAAGCAGATGTATTTTACATTGTTTGTGGTAGTTTTAGCCAATGATTATTGGAAGTTTATGAATGTGACTGCTTATTCAGTCCCCTTTGCTGGTGCTTGTATCTTTTTATTTTCAAGGGTATTTCGAGTTTTGGTGTTTAGAACAAGAAGTGGGCTGCAGCCTGGCATATTTGCTGTGATTAGTCTTTTGGATGCAGAATAATTATTGTGAACAAACACATTCTCTGCTTTTGGTTCATTTCTCATTCGATGCCTAGTTAATTCCAGTTCTAATTTTAATGTTAGTTTTAATATGTATAACTATAATATAATTTGTTGAGTTTGAGTTACGACTAACTCGATCTTGAGCACAGTTCTGTACAGTGGTATTGAAATGGGTCTTGTACCATTAGATGTATTAGAAAATGCAAGGAGGGATTCATTTTTGGACTCAGTAAGATAGCCTACCATATATCATTTGATGAATAAATGAATCGTAATAACTTGAGTAGCAACAGAGAATAAAATGTCATTAGAAGTAATACTGGATGCTAAGATACTTGAGATTGGTTTCCAAGTTTTGGTGGTTCGACGTGTTAACTTCTTTGATAGCATATACATTTAGCAACTTTTCACTTCCTGAACTTCATGCAAAGTCGTTAATTCCCAACTATCTTAACATCTTTAGTTGGATATCTTATAAGAAACATGTTAATATCTAAACAAGATAATGTAAAAGCCAATGACTTCATAACTCTGATTCAGTTCTATAATGCTCCAATCAATGATTATCAAGCAAAGCTTGTACTAAAGCCTCTGTCCCATGAACGGAGGTGGAAGTTTATGTATGAGCCTATCCATCAAGATGTGCGCCTTCTTTCAAAGAAGATTCCAGTAACCAAATTTCTAAACCTCCAGGTTTGATACTTTTTTCCCTTCATGTTCTCTTGTTATATCACATGGCTAGCTTAGCACGTACATTAGAAGCTTAAACTTATACATTTTAGATCACTTCATTGCTTGTTGAGCCCATATTTGTCCCAACTTTTGTAACTATTAGACTAACTGCTATAACTTGCAGGTTGGTATAGGTCATAACTTTCGGATGAGTGCAACTGGATGGAAATGGAAGCTTACTACATGTTTGGGAGGAGATGGATTTTCTCGTATTAGGAATAAGACATCAATTGGTTTGTGTCCTGGTGTGGATTTTCGGTTTGGATGGAGAGCTGATTATGTTCTTCCTGAAATCACTGGGCAAGTTTCCGACCTTCCATACATCCACCATTATAGAAAAATGCAAAAGCTGTTAACATGTATTTGCATTTTAACTTGTTGGAGTTAGTTATTGTCAAGCTAGAAAAAAATATGAAGTATCAACTATTAGTTCTGCTGATAGAATTTGGTTTTCCTTACGAAAAATTTAGTCTTTTTCATTAGGACTTAAGGTTGTTTAAGATTTATTTTCTTTCGTATTGAATTGCTTAAAGCATGTGTGGCTCGCTGATATTGATTTGATTATTTGTTTTCTTATTTATTTTACCTTTTATGTCAAAATTCCAGTTCTCATATTTTTTTTCTTCTTGTGAAAAGTAGTTGTCTCCTTGTTATATCATATTTTATCAATTTTTTTTGATAGATTTAATTCTTAAATTTGGCAGTGCTTTGGGTACTGGTGAATCATTGTTCAACATGAACTCAGGACGGTTGCAGGCGTCGCTAGATAGAGTTGAGGTCGTTCTGACTCATATATCATGAGAAGCAGGTGTGAACAAGTGGGAGGGAAAAAGCAGGTAAGTGTAAGTCCAGATTTGAGTCTGCAGGCTTGCTGATGTGTCCAGAACATTTTCCTATACTTGTTTGTGTCAGCCTTTCTGTTTTGCACAATGAATTTATGCAGTTTAGTATTTGAATTTTGGGTTTCTTATGAAATTTCTTGTATTTTTGTGGTACACTTCTGAAGCCAAATCCTAGTTTTAGGTTCTCCACCTTTAGTTGAGGATAGATGGTAATAGGCACACGATATTTGTCTTTTTCACGACACTTACCCTAGAAGTTCCTGCAGTTTAAATTTGAAGTTTAACTAATGTTTATTCTTTACCTTTATTGTGTTTTCTTTAATTGGTAGGACACGGTATGGGAAGGGAGATCCAAAGTTAATGGGAAGGGAGATTCAAAGTTAAGTCTTTGCCTAAGTTGAAATATGCACCTCCTACTAGCTAAGTTTGTTGGTTCTCCCTACCTTTATATTTTGCATGATCAGCTGGAGCTTATATTATATCATGTTTAGAGTATTTGTCCAGCCTAGAATGGTGGTAGATTTTGTATTGATTTATAGTCATTGATTTACATGCTCTGATCCTTTATGATAAAGACTTCCACTACTTG